AGATAGATAGATAGATAGATAGATAGATAGATAGATAGATAGATAGATAGATAGATAGATAGATTGATTGATTGATTGATTCTGGTGCCTTTGAGTCAGTCTTAACTTCTGGCAACTGCCTGGACAAGTTCCTGTAGTTTTCTTGGCAAGATTTTGGAAGTAGTTTGCCATTATCATCTTCTTCCCAGGGCTGAGAGGGACTGGCCCAAGGTCACCCAAGTGGCTTCGTGCCCAAGGTGGGACTAGAAATCACAGTCTCCCAGTTTCTAGCCCGGTGCCTTAACCACTACACCAAATTGGCTCTCTCCTTTGATAATTCATCCCCCCCTTAATCATTGTGAGAAGTAATTCTCAGACATGTAAGTTCATAGTGAGCAACTGCTGCACTGTAAAGTCTGAGAACTCTGTCATATCTACAGGTAGGTCTCAATTAGTGTGGTTAACGAATCCCATGAAATGGTCGCATGATTCAAATTTGCACTATTTGAAGTGATTTTTCTACGGAAAATAGGGTAATTGGTTCCAGCTTGACAGAAACAGGCAACAAAAAGGTTTAAACATAAACATTTATGTTTATTAATAAAATACTGTATAACAGTAAAAGAGGATAAACCCACATCCAAAGCCCACCTGCTATCTCCTGTGTTCCACTGTAGTTCTTCAAAGTGAGCCTCTTCTTTCAGTTTTCCTCAGACGGAGCCTTCTTTTCCTCCATTTTGCACACACAACGATTAGCGTCTAAACCCCAGTGGCAACTGCACATATGCTAGCCTCACACTGACTGAATTTTGGCTCACAGTAAACGTGACCTGGTATCAATTTATCAATCACACTAAACTGAATTTCGCACGATTCGAACTCACACAAATTGCAACTTACCTGTAGATTAACAATGATTAAAAGTAACTAGTTTATTTAGTTTTTGCCCAAACAACACCAATGAAATAATTCACTGGGGGTGGGGAGTCACAGAAATGTATTTAATATTTGATTAATATTAATTGAGCCATTGCTCAGTTGTCATTGTCAAATTTCCTTTTCTTCAGAAACTTTTGTGGAAGGCAGGATGACAGTTCTGTTTTATCTTACTAGACCCTCAGCTTGACATCCTACAGACAGGCTGGATTCACACAATACTCTGCACTAGGCTAAAAGAGATTTGGGTGGTTTGTGATCTGCACAGCTAGGGGACAACCCCCGAGCCAAATTTGGCTGTTGGGTTAGATCTCTATATAACTTGGATGGAAGAAAGCAATGACAAGCCACCTTTGGCTACATGGATGTGTTCACGAAGTTACCCAGAGCTGAAGGAGGCTTCATTCTTTAATTTGTAGCGTAATGGACTGTGGGAACCAGAATTTTATGTTAAGCCATGGTATATTTGTCAGAGCATAGCATAGTCTGTGAATGCAGCAATTGTATGTTGTTGTCCCACATCTTGTCTCTTGCATGTCATGTGAACTCCAAACAAACTGCATTATGGCTTAGTGTGATGTGTGAATTACGTCAAGGATTCTGCTTCCTCCAACAATTGGTATGTCACAACGCATATCTAAGTCATCCCAAGTGAAAACCATCCAGGCTGAGTTTATACATTCTACTAAGCCATAGCTTGCTGAACTAGGGTTTATTGAATAAACCACAATTGCCTGGCTTTGAACATCACACTAAGCCATACACATGGTTTACAAATCAGAATTGGTTGGCTTCACACAACACCCAGTTGACTAGATCATGGCTCCCACTTTGCCTTCACTCACTGCATTCCCACAGAGCAATTAGGTTCACATGTCACACAAACCATAATATGGTTTGGTTTCAACATAGGTTATTGGCCATTTACAACTTCATATGTTGTATGAACTGATGGGGCAAGCCATGACACAGTGTGATGTGTGAACCCTGCCAATCCTCAACATAAGCTTGGGTAGAATAAAACCCACTTTTCTCTCTCCAAAGTATTGCTGCAATTTCGTTATTTTTATTTGAATAGACATTCATCCTGCCATTCCTCCAAGATAAAGAGGCGTCCACAAGCCCGCCTTATTTTGATCTCCAACAACCCTGTGAGGTGGGGCTGGAAGACACCCAGTGGCCCCAAATCACCCCAGGAGCTGTTTTCTTATCTGCAGGTATCACATGCAAAGCTGACCCTCGCTCCTGCAACGGACAGAGCGGCCTTCAAAAAGCACGACCCTGTTCCACGGTGCTAAAGATGGGCGGGGGGGAAACCCTCACCCGGGACCGGGGCCGCGGCGCGCGTGCAGGCGAGGAGCACCAATCCCGAATGAGCGACAGCCCGTAGACACAGCTCTAAGCCAATCGCGCATAGCCCGCCCCGGCAGGAAAGGCGGGCCAATAACGTCACGCCTCCCACGCCCCTCTGATTGACAGGTCTACATTTAAAGCCTCCCAAGCAGCCGACTCGCCAGACCGCCGCCCGCTCCGGTTGGCCACGTGACCCCACCTGCTTAATTTTGCGCCCCGCCCCAGGAAGCCTGCGTAGAGCGGCGGAGGCAGCCGGAGATTGCCGAGTGGCTTCGGCAGGTCGCAGTGGGACTTGATCGCTTTCGGGAACTGCGCCCGACTGAGTTGGGTCTGTAAGGCGGCGGTGTCCGGAGGCGCGGCTGTCGACATGGGCGCGTGCCTGGGGGTCTGCTCTCTGCTGAGCTGCGTGAGTGTCTCTGTCCCCGTCGGGGGAGCCTGACCCTCCCGAGGGTTTCTCGGGGCAAGCGGCGGCGCCGACGACTTTTCGGTCCCTTTTGCTTGCGGGCGTCTTGGGGGGCTGGACGGGGAAAAAGGGGGAAGGGGAGGTCGGGATCTGAGACCGGCGCCATTCTCGCCCCCCCACCCCGGTTATTCGTGAACCCGCCCCGGTGGTCCCTCTCTGGTCCTGCCCGGGTTTGCTCGGAAGCCGGCTAAAAGTTTTGCTTCCCTTCCCTTCTCCTGCCTTGTTGCCCCTTCTGAAATCGCGCTCTCGCCCCGTGTTTCCTGCTTCCCCTTCGTTCTCCCCCCCCCCACGGAGGAAGGTTGCGGGGTCCTTTTAAATGTTCAGTAACCAAAAGGAAGAAATTCAACAGGTGCGGCTGTTGTACGAAGCCCCCCAAGCCCCGCTTGTCCGTGTTCAGTGGATGGAGGGAATGAGGCTTGAGAATCGAGCGACACTTCCTGGTTAGTTCCTTTTGAAGTGTCGGGGCAGGAGACTCGCAGGCTGCTGTTCAACCGGGGGTCCCAGCTCCCCTGGAGGCTTGTGGATAGCTCCGTGGTTTCTTCCCTGCCTTCTGTTTGTTTTGGAAAAGCGGGTGGACGCAGAGGCTGGGTGCCCAGATGGGTCTCAACTATGGTTTGCTTAATTGTAGTTTATTGAACGAACCACAGTTGTAGGTTTATACTTCCTGCTCAACTCCAACCAGACATTTTAGGGCTCGGGATTCTAAAGGGAGTCAGATGGGAAAGAAATCCGCTCCTTTAGCTTTGGTGTAATAAAAGTTTAATATTAATCTTTCCCCGTTTCAGACCTCAGTCCCTTTGGAATCCAAAAATGCTGTGGATGTCCGTTTTCTCAGTAATTCTGCAGTGCACTGAGTGTAAGGTCTGATGAGTGTCAGGCAGAATTTGAGATGGGCTGCTCACCGCTATTGTACTATACATTCCACCGGGCTGAAGATATTCAGCGTAGCTTTGGGAAAGTTGGTGTACAGTGATGTTAATAGGTATATTTTTTTTTCCTTGGGCCAATGGGACATGCCTACAAACATTCCTTTTTTATGCAATGAGTTGAGAGAGACTTTCACCGACCTTTTGAGTTAATCCTTTAAAGGTAGTTCTGGAATGAGCGGGAACAACAGACACATGAAGGTTGCCACTTGGCTCGTCCCTCCGAAACTGCTTCCCCCGTTCCATGGTACAAGAACCCTTTTTGAAAAGCCCTCATAATTGGCATTTTGGGACATGTAATTTATGTGAACGGTAATCTTTGCAGTAATGTCGTTGGAAGGTTTTTTGGGGTGTGGTCAATGCCCTGGAAACCAAAACTGAGAGTGGAAATGGGAAGACAGGTGTGAGGCAACGCCAAGTTATCACGAGGTGGTTGTCTTTGTACGCTTAGGGTATGACTTCACAGAAAGTCATCTGGGAGTGAACCAAGCTGAATTCAGTGGGATGGACTTCTGAATAAATGTGCTGTTAGCGTCAAACTTTAGAAGCATGTAAACTGGTGGATGTTCCAAATCTTCCAGGAAAAGCCCTTAAAAAAAAAAACACAGCTGTTGTCAAAAATCTGATTGTTAAAACTTAATTAGACAAAATCTGCACAAGTGACCATGGCATGATGTTTATATAGGTGTGTGCGGCCTCATATTTATTAATTGGTGATAGATTATTATTACAGTAGTAGTTTAAATTGCTTACCGGGATTCATAATTGTAGATTCAGACCTCAGCTTGTTAAAACAGATTGATCTGATGTCTGTTTAGTTTTTAGACTGATATACTGCACTTTCTCTAATAAGAGCAGATGGTTTACGTCATACTTGTTCTTCCAAATCTTTCCCTCACAACAACCTTGTGAGGTAGGCTGGTCTTAGAAAGCTTCAGTAATTGAGGTGGACTTGGATCTGGGTTCTACCTTTGGAGAGGCCAGATTTGTGGTACAAATGAGGGCTCATCTCTGTGCAAAATGCAAAGGATTTATTTTCTAGTACCAATGACATGCATTTTTTTTTTAATTGCCCTCTGCTTTCCAGTCACGCATGTTTCAAAGTGAGGAGTAATGTTGGCCAAATAAGATTCAAAAGCAATGGGAGAAATCTGCTTCAGTTCATCTCTTCTTGAATCCTGTTGGAAGGAAAGAGATTCAGACCTGTCATTCTATGGACCCAGAATGTAGCAATAAGCCTCAATGAAATGGGAGTTTTATGTCCTCATATTGAAATCAGTGAAGTAAAAGTCTTTGTGAAAAGTTCTTGGAACTTATTTCTTTAATTAGGTGCCTTTGAGTCAGTGTTGACTCCTGGTGACTGCCTGGACAGGTCCCTGCAGTTTTCTCTGCAATATTTTCAGGAGTGGTTTGCCATTCCCTCCTTCCTAGGGCTGAGAGCGAGTGACTGGCCCAAGGTTACTCAGCTGGCTTTGAACTAAGGCAGGATTAGAACTCACGGTCTCCCGGTTTCTAGCCTGGTGCCTTAACCACTACAACAAACTGGCTCAGAATATGTGTTAACTTTGGACGATTCAGAGAAAGATATATATCAGCTGGTTGAAAGTCTGGTGCATTTCGTAAGTTGTGGTGTGGAATAGGACAGCAGTTAGGAAATGTAGGAAACTTGTAACGTTTCTGCAAAAAGCAACTATGGACAGGCTAAAACGATTGAACCGATCAGGATCTTGTATGGTTTCCTAGGTTAAGAAATATACTAAATTATGAATAAGACAGTTGCATTGAAGGAGTTTGTAAAAGGAAAGATAACGATACTATTGCATGATTGTTACTAATTTGAGGATTACTGTATGGAAGCTTCAGGAAAGAAAATACATAGTTCCTAAACTCTTGTAACACTGATGCAAAAAAATAATTTGCTGTTAAGTAACAATGAAGTGAAATGCCACAACCTGGCATTCTTTCGGGAGCCAATCAACTCGTTAAAGCATTTTTATCCACATTGTTACGTTAATAAGCTCTAGCCAACGTTAAAAAAAAAAAAATCTTTACAATTTGGAAAAACAAAAGTGATATCCAAAAATACAAACTAAAACATTTCGATTGTTTAAACAGAAGTAGAAAAAAAGGGAGGAAAAGCAAATTAAAAGGATCTGAATTCTGGCTCTTTAGAAATATAACATTGTACAAAAGGCTTGGTCCTGTTCTATGGTCAAAGTTGGAGTATCTCGGTAGGAAGTGTGAGCTGTGAAAGGAGTATATACATTGATTAAAATTTGCCAAGTATTTGTTGGCTCTGATTTTGCACTGCACCCAAACCCTCCAAAGCAGTGTTTCTCAACCTTGGCAGCTTGAAGATGTGTGGACTTCAACTCCCAGAATAGAATTGTAGTCTAGCCCATCTGATGAACGGAAAGCTGGGTACTGAGTTCTCAGGAAACACATCTGGAGGTATGTAGAAAGGAAGTGGCCCGTTGCAGACTCTTGCTTTGTAGACCGCACAGCAATGCAGGTTGCTTTGGCTTCAGCACAATACGCTAAGCCAGGCCAACCGTTGTGGGTTATAAACCATGGGCGGTGCCTCAGCATTATCTGTGAGCCCATTCAGTGGTTGATTCAGTAAGTCATTGTTCAAGTATGGCTTAAAGTGGTCTGTGAAACAAGTCAACAAGCCCGTAATCTTGAAGTCATGAGGAGCAGAAAGGATCAAGATGCAGATGGAAGGACAAGCCACGCAAAGGCCATTCCAGAACCTTGCTAAGCTGGACTTTTCCCCTCCTCTCCACAGGGACGTTACCACCAGCTGGGAAAGAGAATAGATTTTTGTTCCTAAATTATATTCTAGACATTTTCATTTACAGTAATGTTCATTGCTTACCAGTAGCTTTGGGAGGTTTGTTATACAAGAAGCAAGAACTAAATAAGTGTAATGATAACTTCCCGGTGGAGTCCCTTTTCAAAATTATTTATTTTTCATAACCACATCTCTGTTTGTTTGGAACATTTTAACGTTTATTTGAAAATATTTAAGGAACAATGACTAGGTAAAAGAAAAAAAGAAGGAAGCGAAAAAGTACATAGTGGGTGGAAATTAAAAATATCCAGGAAAGAGAATTTACAGTTGTCATAAAATTTAAAATTCATTATTTAATTGATTAAGCAATGGATTGAATATATGCCACTACACTATGTCTTAAGAAATAATTGAAAATCACAACAAAACTCTAAATATTATTAGTAATATCACGATCGCCACTGTTTATTTTGATTCCTCGCATAAATGCACATGGTCTTGTAAGGAAAAAAAACGCCTTGCCTTCTCACATGGCTGCTGCTTCTCCTTCTCGGCAGGCATCGTGCCTCTGTGGTTCAGCTTCTTGCATATTATGTGGCTGCTGCCCGTCTACGAAGAATTCAACTATAACGCGCCTGAGCTTCACCTTGTTGCTCTTCCTGGGGACAGTCGTGTCCATCATAATGATAATTCCAGGCGTGGAGGCACAGCTGTACAAGGTGAGTTGCGCCCTTTCCCCTGGGCTTTGAAATGAGGCCCAACGTGCTTCAGAATGTCATTCAAGTCAGCTAATACTATGTAATTTTAGCAATTATAATCCTTGTTAGGGCTGTGTGAGACATTTTGAACTTGCAGCAGTTGTTCCAAGTTTGAAATGGGTTGCTCCAACGTTATTGGAAGGTCCCAACACTTCTGATCATTCTGGAAATGTTTTGAGCTCTAGACAGCTCCATTTCATAATATTTCCAGAATTCTTCAGGAATGGTGGCTGTGTTGGAACACTTCTGGTGTCTGGAATGGAGCATTATGCATTTGAAAGATCTTACAGACCACTGATAGTAATTCCATAGTACATAATGTTCATATCCTGTCTTTTTTTCTGGGAACACAAGATGTTTTATCTTTGCAATGGCCACTTGGTTGGTTGGTAGGTTGGTTGGGCTGAGAGAAAGGGACTTGCCAAAGTCACCAATCAGCTCCATGGTTGAACAGAAGCTTGGCTGTGGATCTTCTCAATCTCAGAGTGGCACCATAACTTCTGCATTACACTGAATGTCACTGAAGACAACCTTAGTTACTTCATATTGGGATATTGGGCTTCCCTCCCCATAGAAATTTCTTTGAAGAGTTTTGGGAAACTACAGCTTAGATTAGAATGCCAGACCCTATGAGTAAACAGGAGCTGAATATAGAGCACACAGTTCCCTTACTGAGATAGCTACCCTCTCTTCCTGTTTATTTCTGTCTACTATTCAAAGAACTGATGATGACCTTGAACATAGGTATGGCCTAACTAGGAATTATGGGATGGGAAATTCTAAATACCTGGAGGGCACAGAGTTGACTGAGGCTATCAAAAGCTGGTCTATTCCTAAGGTGTCCTTCTCTCTCCTTGACCTGCTCGGACCACAACAATTCAAGGGTATCACAAATCGAGTGCTGAGAATTGACTAATGATTCTTCCCCTACCTTCATACTTGTACACATGATATTAAGCTTATTAATTCATAAAGCTTTCTCCTTATGCCATTAATAAGTTTCTTGGGGTTTTAGAAAGCTCCAAGAAATACCCAAACAGCCTCTTGGTCCTTTAACCTTCCACTTACCTGCTGTGGTATGCCAAGCTCTAGTTTTAGCTTCATAACAGGCAGGAGTGGAAATTGGTAAAGAAGCCAATTTGTGATCTATCTGTTTGCTCTTTAAGTGGTTTGCATAACGTCTGCCTTGTGGGGCCATCTATTCACTGGGTGGGTTTTACTATTAAAAAGAGCACGAGAATCTAGCTGCCATTTGCAGGAGTGTTTTCTTCCCCTGTGAAGGATGGTTGAGGTTTGCTACCTCATTCTTGCTGTGTTTTAGAGTTTCTCTGTGTTTTTGAGCGTCTTTTATTGCCAAAGTCAATGGATGGAGGGTCCAACTGCTGATTGGTTTGGGTTGTATATTTCTCCACCACCCCATAGCTTTCCTGGTTGCCCAGATTTCCCAGTTGGGAACAACCCCAGGGGAGGAGTGCCCTCCTGAATTTGTTCTTTGGATTGACCGGAAGGGTAAGATGCCAGGGAAAGGTGGAAAGATCATGGTGAAATTTGGCCACTTCACCTCCACCAAAAGCAAGAGTCTTCTCAAGTTTCTTTAACAAGATTTATTGAAAGGGGATAGGGTTACAAAAATCTCAGCAACTGGATCGTTTCCCCTCTTTAAGATTCAGTTTACCTCCTGGGTTCATAAGATGGAGACTTTCTCAGTCTCTGACCCATGGTACCTGTGAGAATGGGTGAAGAGGCTCTTCTCTTAAGTGATAATTGAGGAATGTGTAGTTGGTTAGAATATAAATCTCTCTCCAGTTCTAAATATGCCATTATGTTATCCATACCGTAACATGGGGAATTTTACCAACTTTATAATGTCCTTTGAAAATTATTGTATAAATAATTCTTTTCTTGTTAAATTGAAAAAGAACGTTGAGAAACATGCAGGGAAATAATCAGTCGTTGTTGTATTAAAGATTAGGGCTTTTAAAGTCTTCTTTTTTCTTTGACCAGCTTCCTGGATTCTGCACGGGAAGCAATTCGCTCGTGGGCATCCAAGTTGACTGCAAGGCCTTCCTGGGTCTCAAATCAGTGTACCGCATGTGTTTTGCCACAGCATCGTTCTTCTTCCTCTTTGCCTTGCTGATGATCTGTGTCAGGAGCAGCAAGGACCCGCGAGCTTCGATACAGAACGGGTGAGGCCATGCTAGTTACACTCACGTTTTGTCCTGTCCCAGACAGCAAACCAGATCAGGGAATCTGGGAGTTTATTCTGGGAGAAGTTCCTTTGATTCAACTTGCAGTTTCACTTCGTGCGTTTGTGTGTCTGTGATTAAATGGCAAACGAAGCCGCAGAACCAATATTGATTTTGACTGTGATTCAAGGGTTTACTTTTTGCTCAGGCATCATTTCAAAGCTTGTCTTTCTCTCATCTCAGGACATGAAGCTGAACCTGATAGGATCACCACATGTGTAAACATAGACATGTTTCTTTAACCTCAGGATGTGAAACTTTGTTCTTCTACTTCTGTCTTCTTGCTAGCACCCCCATCTTCCATAAGTTTCTCCACTGATCTGTTCCTTCCAGGCTTCTAACAGATATTTTTTTAAAAAATAATTTTTTATGAAGCATTGTTCGCTCCTAGAGGTTGCCAAGACCATCTTTGGTAGAATTCCAGTCAAAAAGAATGGAGATCTAAGAAACAGATAAAAACGTTTCATCTTTTGAAGCTGACCTTGCCTGCACAGACAGTTGGGTCAATTTTTATTGTGTATTGTCAAATTCGGTTAAAAACTCTAAGCAGGGTAAAATAAATTGCCCATGAAAAACAGCTAGATCAATGGACTAATATTTATTTTACAGACTTTCCCCCCCCTATTGGAACTCAGGATTGCAAGGCTGATTAAACAGCTTATTTCTCCATGTATTTTTATGTGTTCCAACAACTAGCTGACATCTAGTTTCTCCCCACTGGTTCCCATATTTTATAGCACTGTTGATGTAGTGCTTTAGAGGTGAACCTAGAGTCCGAGGCTTGCAGGAAGGCAGTGTTAAATGTCTTCGTGCCTTCCCTGAAATAGGACCATGCAAGCTTTATAAATAAATCATCTTTCCAAATAAAGTAACCTTGCTTTATCAGTGACCTGGTTTAGTGGCATGCTAACCCATACTATGGTTCAGCTTAGTTTCTGAACCCAGACTGTTCCTTAGCATAGACTTTAATCACGTTTTCTTACAGCTTAGCTTAAATATAGTCTGGTATGTCACTGAAGTCTGCTGTAGGTTAGCTTAACTTAACTCAGTTCGGGCATGTGGTCTGCACCTAGAGTAATGGCTAACTCATGGCTAAACCATAATTATATGGTAGTCCTTTGGGTTCAACGCTGTTGTGCGGTTCATCTCTAGACATGGAGGTGGCTCTGCAGTTCCAGTCTGGAAGCACAGAGTCTAGCACAATGGGGACGCTGGAAGTCCGTTGTTGTAGTAACCGTGGGTGTTGTTCTGTGATGCCGCTCATGGTTTTCTATCACTTTTTGGCGGTGCCTGTCTTCAAAGCCAGTGGAGGCTTCATAGCCCAGGGCTCGCCAGCAGGTTCTATTGGCAGCCTCAGCTTCTAGTTCCCTTGGCTGGATGTCACAGTGGCACAGAGTTTCTTTCACAGTGTCTTTGTAGCACTTGCATGGTCAACCTCAAGGTCTCTTCCCAGACCCCAGTACACCATAGAGCAACTGGTGATGCATACGGTGATCCTCCATTCTGTTGTGTCCCACCCACCGCATCCGGGCTCTGATCATCAGGGACTCAATGCTGGTGACTCCGCATGATCCAGGACTTCACACGTTAGGATAGACAAATCCCCTATCTCACCAAGAGTTGAAGAGCTGTTGACTACCCTCACTTGGTTTGGCCTGTCTGCCAAGATGGTTTACTGGGGTGTGGCCACTGCAGTGTTACAGCTACTTGGAGCCACAGGTGAGAGCTGAGTGCCAGGTAGGGACCCAAGGTGAACAAGCAGCCCTAGAAAGGCATGGCAGGCCCCTCCACCAGCGGTGCTACCCCTCCTTGGACACCCCATACCCCCCAGTCCTCCAGAAAAATGATACTGTTAGGAATGTCTGCAAATAGTGTTGCTTTTACCGAAATTTCTGGCTCCTTGTGGTTTATTTTTTCACATCTGCTGGAATGAAAGGGCAGGTATAAAAATGCTGAAGGAAGAATTAGTCTTTGCCCACCCAACATGCAGTAGCTCCAAATCTAATAGGATCTATTTCGGTTGAGAGGTGGACGTTGTTCATTACTGGAAAAATCAAGCAGGAAATATCAGTGAGAGCCAAGGAGGCTGAGATACTGATGAAATCACAGCCAATGGTGGTTTTCTGTGTCGTATAGGACATGATTGCTGGTGGGAAGCCTTAACTGTGGTTGACTTAGCTTTTCTACAAATCTAAAGAGAAATTTTCTTGCTGCCAATTCAGGTTTTGGTTCTTCAAGTTCCTGATACTGATTGGAATAACCGTGGGGGCCTTCTATATTCCTGATGGAACATTCACATCTGGTAAAAAAAAAGAAGAAGAAGAAGCATTTTCTTGTATTAAAATGGATTTGTGATTCAACATTCTGTTTATATGCATGCACTGTCTTAATAAAAGGGAATGTCTCAGGGATGAACGATGGTATTTAAGACTAGCTCTGGATTTTAAGAGAGGGGACTAAGTGCCTCTACCTGCTTGTACCAAGATCAGTATTTTGGGGCTAATTCTTGGATAGCTTAGGTGATGCTGTGGCCCTGTAAGCATGACACGCTTAACTGGTCAAGGTGTTTTGTGCAAAGTTGAATGCTTAATTAGCAACAGAGGAAAAGAGGCTCAGTTTTAACTCAGAGCATTCCTGGGTTTATTTTGGCTTAAAGTACACTCCCCCAGTCAGTTGTGCTGTTCATAGCTAGAAGACAGGATTAAACATCTCTTAAGGATTTAAAGACCCTGTTTTGCTCCTTTAAACCCCTCCAGCCAGAAAAAGGGGTCCTAAAGATCCACTCTGGGAAATCCAGAAGAGATATTGGCAGGCTGCATTTTTTTTGTATTCTAGATTGACGTGGAGTTTGGTATAGATGTCCCTAATACATGTCTGTGTATTTAGATAGAGTGTGTGTGTGTGTGTGTGTGCGCGCGCGCCTTTGAGTCAGTGTTGACTCCTGGCGATTGCCTGGACTAGTCCCTGCAGTTTTCTTGTAACCATTTTGGAGGTGGTTTGCCATTGCCTTCA